CATCTTCTTAAAACCTTTGAACAACTTCTATTCCAATGCTGAAGAAAACCACCAAGTTTACAAAAAGGAATGTTGAGATCAGTGCTGATGGATTTTCTTTACACATAATAATGACAATTCAATGGTCTCATCTTACCAACGCACCTTCTTCATCTTTTTTTTACCAAGCTCTTTGAATAAAGCAGCACTTCCGCTTTTCTTGCAACAAACAGTTTTTTCTTGCCACTCTTCTCTAAAGCTCAGTTTTTTGGACATTACAACTCAAGTACTCTAAAAACGAATGTAAGTATGAGATAAGGTGAGCTCTTTAAGTCATTTCCTGACATTTGTTTTAGGTATACATGATTCATTTCTGCAAAATGACTTGAACATCATTGGAAATAACATAACTGGAAGTGTTGGAGATAAGCCCTTTTCATATCTTTAAACACTATGAAAAAACAAAACAGAACAAAACAAAGAAGGTAATTGCAGCCTTAACATCTAAAGCTTACAGGGTGTGTTCCCAGAACTGCTAGAGCTTGGCATAGCAACATGGCAACCTAAGATGATCTCTTGTTTTGCAAGCCTCGCCCCTCATTACATGTATGTTCTTATTTTCACAATGTAGCATTTCACAGTCAAAAGCTAAATCTGTTTGACTGCAGGGTTGCTGTTTATTTATTCTGGAGCCTGCACTTTATATGTGAATTAGATCAGATAGCCAAAAACTAACAAATATGAAACAGGCTGTAGAGTAGAAACAGACACAACGACATAATGGTTTGCATATACCTAAACAGCCTGGAGCAGCTTCAAGAAAAGCTTCTCACCGTCCATAAGCAGCTCAGCAAAAGCAGGTTTTTTTTCTACTTTGTACCTCAAGAAGGGTCTAAAATTTGCATTAATCTGACTGAGCTAATATGGGGGCTGTTTAAATATGCATGTTGGGAGGAGTAGTGACATCTGACAAGGGAAGAAGCAGTCAGTGAAGGATCTGCAGACATCTGTAATCAAGAGATTGTAATTCTGCATTAATGTTTTCAACAACTGTTACCAATAATACATTACCTCTCAAAAGTTCTTGAACCATTCTCCTTACAGTATGCATCTTATTCAGCGTGTTTCATTTGAATATTATGAGATTGACTGATTAAAAGCTTTGCAGAATTGTGAACTGAAAGCATAAGAATGCATAATTTAACTATTTTATAAAGAAAATGGAAAATAAAATTTATTATATTACACGCCACCGACTCATGACGTTGAACATTTAGGGATTTATAATGTTGCTTGTTTTCCTTAGTATAATTGTCTAATTACAAGGTTGATATTAGGCTATTCTAGCACATTAATGTTTGTCAATTCAAACCAGTCCAGGATAGATCTGACTGTATGTTCATGGTCACTGTTTTACAAAAACCTGAATTCATCCTTGCATTTAGCTTCACCTAATTGCTATCATTAATCTGTTTTATTATCGCTCCCCTAAATGTCCAGTCTTAGTTTTGAAATGGACATAGAATTTTGCATGTGAGCAAATTCCTTTCATTTAGGTGTCATCTCATCAGAACACCTTCCTCCACATTATTTGCCGCTCTCTCTCTCTACATGGCTTGCAGCAAACTTTAAATGAGATCTTTAGAAAAATGTCTTTCTTCCTCCCACTCTTCAATAAAGGCAAGATTTGTGGATTGCACAAATAATACTTATCCTGTCAGCAGATTCTAATACTTGAGCCTTAGACCTTTGAAGCTCAGACAGAGTTACAGTATACCTTTTGGCTGCTTCACTGATAATTGCTTTTCTTGTCAAGCCTTTTCAGTTAAGAAATAAAGATAACAAAGTTTTGGTAGGTTTACAATAAAAATCTTATTAGCAATGACGTGAGATAAAAATGTCACAGGCTGAGGCTTAAATTATCTGAAAGAAGTACAAAAAACAACTAGTTCAGTTTCCTATCCTGCAACTTTCAGATTTCTCCTTGATCCAAGGAATGAATTGACTGGCTGAATTGCCCCCTAAGTATACAGTCAATTTCTATAGAGTCCTCTTAATCATCTAATTACTTTAATCAGGTGTGTTAGACCATAGACATACTGTATGTAGAAGTTGCAGGATACTGGCCCTCAGGAAATGGAATTGCCCACCCCTGTCATTCAGGTCTGAATCTCAGTTTTAGTTATTCTTTGTAAAATTAACTTTTTATCTACTTAAATATAGCTGAAGTTTTATTCTTATCCCTTAAAAAATCATACAGCAACTCCAAATTGTTCTTTACTGTGAGTGGATGAAAGCATCCTTTGGCTGCTGGGATAGCGGCTATTTTTATTTGTTTAAATACAGCCAGGAGAAGATGTTCGGACTCCCAGGCCTTGTTAAACATGATGACTACAAATGTTTTGACTTTGTATACTGAAATAAAACAAGTCAGTTGGCTTGCCAGGCAGGCTTGACAGCACCTGCATGTGAAAGGAGAGAGGCTTTTACAGTAAATCCTATGCATGTGAAAGGCTTTGATACTGTCTAATACCTTGATGCTCTAAGCTGTGTTTTCCAATACAGAGCGGCTACAACCTGTATGGCTCTGCAAAAAGACTTAATACAAGACTTCTTACAGCATGTGCTGATGTGCCTGACAACATCCCAGCAGATGTAAACACTGCTCATCCATGATAACTGTTTACCTACACACCCCATGAGAGCAGACACAATCAGCAGTGTCGGTGCTGCTTCAGAGGGCTGTCAGCACCTCCACAGATGCAAGTTGAGGCAGGGTTGAAGAACAGCACATCTAAAAGTTTTGCATTTTAGAATAAAGCCCTGCAGCTGGCAGAAATCTGCTCTGTAGTGGCTTGGATGCACCTTTCTTAATGTATTTTCTCCTGTTTTCAATGTATTTACAGTCTGTCAGCTTAAAACACTTGAACCGAGAAACTTAGATCACAAGTATGCCCCCTAGAAAAATACAGAGATTGCCAAAGCTGTTAACAGCGGTGATTTGCACGTCCAAGAATCTGCTGTATTTACAGGGAGATCTGCTCAGGGAATACAGCTGCATAGTTTTAAGAAATGCTTTGCAAACCTTGTACCCAGAATCACAATCTAATCAGCATATCTCTATGGGACTTGGGGAAAAAAATGCTAACAGATGCATCAAAAGATTTCCTGGAAAGATTTTTATAAAAAAAAAGCTTTTTTCTCTGCCCGGCATTTTTACCAACCACAATCCAGCTAACAACCAAGGTTTTCATCCACCTCAATAAACTGATTGCTGTCATAATGACTTTTCCTTTTTCTATATTCAGTCTCCCAGCAGGTTCCCACGGAGAGAGAAGGAGCAGCACGTAGAAGGAGGAGAGCCATAATGAGTAACTGCCTGCTTTGATTTATAGCTGTACACGAGTTAAACTGGCTATCTCTGCATGTGCCTAAATGTGGACACAATGCATTAGCTGGAATGTGATGAGACTACATTGTAGAGCATGTGTTGGTGTGAATGTTTCCTTGTGTAAGACATTGCTGCTGGGGTAATAGATAGGCAAACAAGGCAGAGCGACATGAATCTTTTCCCTAAGCAAAGGTGAGTTTGAAATAAATCCCCTCTCATTTTTGTTTCTTTTCACTTTTTCTTTTCGTTGTCTTTATTCCTTAAAATAAGTAATGCAGATGAGCCGAAGGCAGACCTATTTCAAATGTTTAAAGCCATGCATGTTGTAGGAACGAAACAGCTTCAAAGACATAGCATAAGGGATAATGGCATGCTATAATAGAACACAAGAAATTGCTGCTTTGTCACGACCCTTTGCGTGTAAGCATGCAAAGAATCAAAGTTCCTGCTTAGTCTGTGTGCTTTTATGTCCAGATGGTTTCATTGTCCCCAAAAACTTCCTCTCAAAAAGATTAAATCCACCCTGACTGTGTCTGCTTATACACAGAGAAGGAAAGATGATTTAAAAGGTTCCTACACAACAGAAACTGCTTGGTTATGGTTTTTATATCCACCTGCATACATGTATGGCTGACACAAGCAAAATAACAACATACCGGTAAAAAAGAGGGACAGAATCTGTTTTGCATACTTACATACTCTTAGTAAGGGTGTTTTATTACAGTAAAATGATTGAACCTTTAATCCCAGTACTAAAATTCATTTTGCTAAAAAAGTATGCTAGCAAACACTTGTTTTCAGCAGAAAGCACTAGCACTGGTGCCCCATCTGCAACACAGTTTGCTAATAGAACATTTTGTCTTTCTACAAGCTCAGACCCTTTGTTGACCCAAATAATTCATTCGATTTTTAGCTTACAGTTCTGTTTTTTTTAAGAGATGTGTGTTGAGTGATGCCATTCCAAATGAGCCCAAAAATCCAAAGAAACTCCAAATCAAATAATAGCTAGCTAACATAAGATGCTTATCATCATATTCATTATTCATTTTATACAGAGTCCAATGTTGCCAAAAAAGTCCATCTTCCATCATAAAGCACAAAGTCACAGTTAAAGTTCCAACTATACATGGTAATCTTTCGCATGGTAGGATAGAAAAGGTTTTTTCTTGGCATAGGTCCTAATCGATATGCCATTACAGCTTGATATTTAAATATCATTTACAGATCCCTGGTTATCTAATGCTAATGTTTTCAAAAAATTAAGCACTAGATTTTATGCTCATTGACACATTGTAAATAGACCCCCACTCAGCCCAGTGACAACACACTAAAAGAAATGTTCCAAACGTTGTGAATTATTATTAAGTTGTTCTTAGAAACAATGATCACCTAAAAGGTAAATAAAATATTAAATTAAAATCATATAAAAGGGATTGGCTAAATATTTATCACAGCAGGATTTAGTTTTTTTTACAGCGACAAAAAATTAAAAGTTATAGTGGAGGATGATCTTTTTCCCAGGTGGATCATTAATATAAGTGGTCTGCCTAATTGTCAATCATTCTGGTGATATGTTTACAGTACGTCCTCATTTTCACTTACCGGTGGTGAATCTAACATAGTAAAAAATTGCAAATCTTCTTTTGGAAAGTAAGCTTGTATGAGTGATGCAAACGGCAACTTTTAAATAGAGCGTGCACAAGGAGAAATGGACTTGTGTCTGCTCCCGCACATGTTTATTAGGCATTCCCTCTCTGGAAGTAGTACAGGGTTGTGCATGTGCATTTTCTTTTTAAAGTGGAGAGGGAGGGACTATTCAAAAATTTGTGAAAATTCTCACCTATACCTTTAAATATTCAAATACTTTATCCACGTTTACCAGTGTTGCCATTACACATGCCCACGTCTTGGATATAAGCGTGTAAAACATATACAAGATTTTCTCTCTCTATTTTTTAATGCCAGTACTATGAGTCTTTATTTACTTAAAGATATTTTTGACCCCACATGCTTATTACTCAATCAGTAATGAGGAAACAGAAACTCTTAGCACAAAACGTTTGATGCACACAGTCCACCCCGTGTCCTAATAAGTCATTTGGGGCATTTTAACTTGGCAAGATCTGAATGTTTAATTCCAAGGTTGCCTTATTTCAGCCCTCTCCGGTAAGCTCTCATTTTTCCTATGGATGGTTGAGGCAATGTATTAATTTCCTGTATGAGGATTTGTAAGTAATTATACAGAAGGACATCCTCTTACTAAATAAGTTGTACAGACATTCAGTTAAAGTAATCCTCGCCATCATCCAATGCTTGGAAACACACAGTTCTTAAAGTGCTGTTTAAAGTGTGTTTAAGGCATATTCAATGTTTGCGTTTCTCACTTAATCTCAGAAAACATGAGCATAAAGCTCCTGATGTCTGTGTGAGCAGGTGTTTATGTGCACGTGTGTGTACTTTCCTTCCAAAGCTGTCAAATGAAGATGCAGCTCTGTTTGCTTGTGTTAATCCTAACCTCATCATGACTCATTAATTTAGCTCTTTTTACCTAAGTCCACCTAAGCACATTTGGCAGAGATAGAATCTACAGATTTCATGCAATGAAACTGCAAGAACACCAACTATATATTAGAGTGTTTATGGCAAAGTGGAAGCCTGCATAAATATGTCAGCCTAAATGTGTCAAGTGGCAAGCATCATTTATCAAAGTTAGCCGTTATAAACTGTGGTGCAGCAGAGAGAAATTGTTTGCTACCATAGGAGCTGCTGTCTCTTTTCCCCGTCTTGCTCCCTGATGCAGGTTTAACTTGTCTAGCGTTGGATCCAGGAAATACAATGACTAGCCTTCCCCCATGTACTCTCATAGGGATTTTGAGTATGCAGAGGCAGGGTTTTGGAACTGAAAGCACACAGCTCAGACATTCTTTTGCAGAAGTTGTTTTCTTTTCTTTGCTGTGATTTATTCCTTGTAATCCCTTCCTTCCCTCTTCTTTCTCTGAGCCTGTTTCTCTTTTCTTTACACTGTGACATCCACCGTTTTTGGTATTTTTTTTCTACCTCTACAAGCCCTCGCCCTCTTCTTTCTGTTATTTCTGTCTCTCTTCTTGCAAGTTTTAAGCTGTCATATCAAGCAGCCTGCCAAATAATAAGAAGGGACATGTGTTTTGAAAGTTGACTTACAGATGGGTATTATCCTTTTGCATGGACAGAATTTTGATCTAGCATAAGAGCAGAATGTTTTTTAGATGTGCAAAATAGATAAGAAGCAAAAGAGAGCTAGGAAACTGGGACAACAGGAATGGAGCAATAAAAGTCCTAGCATATTTAGACTGTTTAAAAGGCCAACAAAACATTAAATCTCCACCACATGGTTACCGATTCAAAAACAGAGCAGCTAAATATTAAAGTTATTGTGAACAGATTCAAGTCATGTTTGTGAATTACAATATGTTTCAGAGTCTATTCTGTAAGAATGAAGCTATTGAAAATAAACTTTAAGCAGGAAATACATTTTTTTTTTAAATAAGTGAATATTTCTGTGTTCTATCCATCTGGTTTATGGATGAGAGGCAGGGTACACCCTGAACAGGTCGCCAGTCTGCCGCAGGGCATTATTTCTGTGTAAAAAATGTTGATTCGTCCAATTAATAATATATATACTGAATGGAAATTGATAGATAGTGAGTTGCTTTAGGCTGGACATTACAGAGTATCTATGACCGGAAATCCAATGTTAAAGTGAAAAGCACAGCTAAGAAATGTCTGAACCCTGGCAGATATGGATTAAAAGTGATCATATTCATTAATACTCATTCCACCAAGAAGTTGCACTAAATAAGCAATGAAGAAGCTTCAACCACTTTAAATAGTTTTTCTGACAGTATTTGTGCTGAGGTCACTGAGAGACAATCTACTGTAGCCTTTGTCAGAGGGTGTCCTTAAGTTCAAAACAAGTTTGGTCAGTCCAGTTTCTCCTGTAAAGGACCCAAACTGTGGACAGACAGATACCAAGATCTTTAACAGAGGAATAAACAGCTGTTGAAATCAGGACAGAATTGTTTACACAAGATTAAGGAAATTTCTCTTTAACTGTGCCGTTCATGTAAATATTTTTTCCCTAATTTCTAGATTTAGTGATCTTTTAACCTTTCCACACTTTTTTTTAGATGAAATCTGTCCTGCAATGCATCAAGAGCCGTTGTACTGCTTACCAAAGCTTACAGTGTGCTTAAATTGTTATAATGAAAAAAACAAAAAAAATAAAATATTTATACCTAAATAAAAGATTTATTTCCACAAATAAGTTTTAATTTTTCCAGACTCTCTTTCTCCTTCTGCATCCTATTTTCTTCACTTTTACCTTTGAGTTTTTTTTTTTTTTATTTTTTCCATCTGAGGCCTCCAAGGTTACTGCAATGTGAATCTATTCTTCCAATGATTTTGTAATCCATTGGCCCCGCTGCACTGAACAGTAATCAGCTTGTGAGACGAGTACAGGCAGGACAACACTGTGCCTTCCTTCTCCCTCTAATTAAATACTGGACTCTGCTGCTTGAGTCAACAAGGGTACAGATTTTTTATTCCCTATGCTGCTGTAGAAATATATTACAGGACAGACTTTGGCTCAGACTTTGTGCTGTGCTTAGAGAGAAGCCTTTGTGGGATCAGTTGTTTCTAACTAGTTGTTTCTAGTCCCTGGATAGCCAAAAGAAACAAAGCTCAGAGTTTGTATCAGGATATTGTGTAAATGATTAGTTTTAGAGCAGAAGAGGAAACCAGTAGTCTATAGTGTTTATTGACTATACGCCTACTCTCAGTGTCAATATATGAGTGTTTGTGTAAATCTATAGCAAGTGTGGGTGGGTTTTGCAACAACTTTCTTTAGTATTTTTGCTTTTAGGGAAAGCAATATCTCTCATATTTCTCACAGAAAAATGTATATAGACACAGGATTTAAAGTATTTGTGCAAATCTGTATGTGCAATTCCTTTTCAAACCAGCAGGGAGCAATGTTTTATAATTGATTTAAAAAGCAGCTCTGCTGAGCTTCCATCTGCTTGAAGGAAGCACATAACAGAGACACTGAAAAAGCAGAAGGGGAGTGAAATGTAAAGATGAAAAAAAAAAAGACTTAATATGAGTTAGTTTCTAGATCCTACAGTTAATTAAATCTTTCTAGCATCAGTTGTTTTCTTCAGACAGTGAATAATTGTCATAAGTGTAATTTTAATTTCTAAATTCTAAAGAAATGCTAAATAAAGATTAACCTGAATCTTAAAGTACACTAAGATAATTTTTTACTAGTGCTGAATTCGAAAAGTAAGTGCTCATGTTTTCAACCCTGATAATAATGAAATGTAAGACAGACATAAAATAAAACATCAGTGCAAGCGGCAACTGAATGCAGAAAATGACTTGATATCAAATGATGAAAAATCAAAAGAAAAAGTATGCCTCTGAGGACTTACTGTAGGTTGCATAACATATTGTTGATGTGGCATCCATGATGTACTCTGGACCTACGCAGAGAAAAGAAATGGAGAAGAGAAAGCCGGAGGAGACAACAATTATATCAGATAACGGACTTGGAATTTGTAAGGATGGGAAGTAGGAGAAAAGAAAAGACATGACCAAAATTAAAGTGATTAATTAGGGAGAGGATGAGCAATAGGATGATGCAGAATGACAACCAAGAAATATGAAGGAAGAAGATTTTAGTAAACAGCTTCTAAATCCAAAATAAAAGGAAATTAATTTAGATGAGAAAACAAAAGAATGAAAGATTTAATCATTAGTCCCTGTGGCAGAACACGGCGGAAACAGAGGGTTTGCTGTACTTTAAGTTAAGCTGTAATTATGACAAGTTTGAAAGACCACAGAGAACAAAACTATCCAACAGTTACTGCTTCACAGTGAGGGTTACATCATCAAAGCTCTCTTGGTCACATATCACTACTTTCATCTTCTTCTGTTTCCAACAGTCCCTAAAGGCAACTCTGCCACATGTAAGATACAGTACAGTTTATAACTTTAGGAATATAATGCAAATGTTCATGTTGGCCTGTCAACAGTATGTGTGGGTCTGTGAGGAGGTAAAGCTGTGTAACGTACGCAGGTTTCCTTCTAGGTTTGCTTAAGGAAGGAGGAATTTTTGCTCTGCTGAATGTCGGCCTTTGCCTTTTTTTTTTTTTTTTTTTTTTGTTGTTTTTTTTTTGTTGTTTTTTTTTCAAATCTAGGTGGGAGGAGGCTGTCCGCACAGAAACCTGTTTGATAAACTGTTAAACAAGAAACAGCTCACGTTTGTAAAGAATCACAGATGGTTTGATGTGAGTACGTATAAAAGAGCAGTTTCAAAACACTGAAATAGAAATATAGAACAAATTAGAGCATATCTTGCAACACGTGGCTTTCCTTTTTTCCCATGCTTTCATTTATTTATTTTTTTGTGAATGATTCACCTGACTCTGTTTTAAAATGATCCATAACTGACATCTCATGTGTTCTATTGTCTGATTTATGCTATTTTGATTAAGGTTCTCTTGCAAGCCAATAACGCCTGTTTGCACTTTACAGTAAAATTGGTTTAATAAAAATGCATGCCACACTTTTCAAAACTACTTTGTTACTGTGAGGCTAGTTAACAGTAACTGTTATTAAAATCTCTGCTTCTTTCTGTATGTCTGTTTCTGTCTCCCTTAACCCCAGTCAGCCTTGGCAGATGGAGGTTTCTTCCTGTTAAAAGGTTTTTCCTCTCCATTGTCGCTACGTGCATGGTTGGTTTAAGGGATTACTGAAGAGTCAACCTCAAAATACAAGCAAAAATTGTTGCCGCAAGCTCATCCAGGAAGAAGCATGTCCTGCAAGTCACTGGCTGGATGCAATCAATTGGCTTTTCTAACGAATCTGGCTGTTTTGTCTCTGTAAAATACCTTGAGACAACATGTGAATATGTAAATGAGCTGACTTAAACTTGATCAACATTCACTACTCAATGTGTGACATGTTGCATTTAAACATAGATGTAATATGAAAATAGCTTTATGATGTAGGAATACATCTGCCAGACTCCATAACTCTACTATAGCTTTCCATTTTCTTGCAACAATCAATCACTAGGTTTAAAAATCTGATGTGAAACACCAGCAACAATGAATAATAATTTAATTGTATGCATACAGTATAAGGCAGAAGAAGAGTTAACTTAAAGAGAACAGTGTGGAATAAATGGAGACTATGGAAGTCTATGCTGTAAAACAGGATTTATATGATTAGATTTTCATTTTTTATACTATTTCAATATAAACTAAAGTATGAAATTGTAGAAATGCAGATTTCTTACGTTTTCCCTTAAAAATCCTAAATTTACTATAGCAAGACTCGGGAGGGTCAACCCACCTGATATGTGGAGACAGGGGAAGCAGCAATGAAGGGCGTGATTGATGTTTGTGCAATCATCCGATTGGTCGAGATGCTATAGGGTGAAGGGTAGAATCTAAGAAGCACAAAAACAAAATTGTAATAAATATTAATAACAAGTATGTGTCAAAGGTCTTTTTTATCTCTGCATCGTATTTGCACGATCGGTCCTTGTTCTACAAACTTTGCATAGCCTCGTGCAAAGGTGAAAGAAAGCTCCACTTTGTTTTCATCTACCCAGTGCATTTTAAGTCAACGCTGACAAAATGAATCAGACATCATCAAAGAAATCATGGAAACAGTAAATATTGCAGCTTCATTCTGAGTCAAACCATCAAAGTCATCTTAGAATGAAACTTGACACTGCATTTGAGAGCACATCATTCTACAAAGGAGACGGTTCTTTTGCCATGCATGATAATGAATTACCCCCCTAATGCGTTGGTGGGTGAAATCTTTCAATATTGCCCTTTATGTTTCCACCTACACAAACGGAGGATGAGCCGTATGTGTAACATCAGCTTTTTACACTCTGTTTATTCTTCAACCTACACCTTTATCTGCCCTTCTGAATATGTTCTTTTCCTCTTTGCTTGCTTTATTTTACCCTCATAACCCTGCAGCTGTACAATGCTGTGGCTCACAGTGCTTTATTTATCATTGTGTTTCTAGAGAGGACATGTTTCATCCGCCAGCCCATGTTGCTGTGCCCGATCGATCCTAAGGTGTCTGTTGGTTGAATAATGGTGCAAGGTAGGGAAGGCAAGAGAGATTTAGAGACAAAAGGAGAAACTCTCCTCTATGTGTCTCTGGCACTGTCACTTATAAATACATGTAAATGGTTTTTAACTTTCTGATTTAAAATAATAAATAAATAAAAAACACATGTCATAATCTCCATGGCTGCCCTTATTATTTGGCTTGAGTAAAAAAAATGAATACATTCATACACGAAATTCAGACAATCTCCAAGGGTGTGGTGATCAAGCAGAAATAATCTTTTGGTTTTCATCTAAAAAGAGAGACTCCATAACAGGTGTTCCCCAGTCTGGTTCTGGAGAGTTACCACCCTACAACCTTTAGATGCATCTCTTCTCCATCTGGTAAAGAGCCACTCAAGAGAGGCATCTAGTTCTAGGGTGGTGCTGTAGCTCTTAGGAGCTGGACTTGGGGACCCTTTGCTATAGAACCAGAGTCAGCCTCTATTGTATATTGCAGGATATTCTGGATTTTGATTTCAATCTGAAAAACTCACACAGAGAGAAAAGACAATCAGTAGAAAGAGTAGAAGACGAGTTGCGGATCGGAGGCCTTTTAAGAAAATGGATGCTGATTGGCTTTCGAGGAGGCGTGGTTAAAAGCTGATTGGCTGGGTCATAGGCGAATGAAGGCGAGTAATCAGTTTATTCACTTCCACCTAGACTACATATAGTGGATTCTGCAGAAATTCTCCCTCGTACCATTTATTACTAATTTCCTCAGGCAGGATAAACTGTTCTGGACTTGTGATGACAAGACGGCACTGTTCACATAAACGTACAGAATATTTTGTGGTTTTGTATATTTTGAGAAATGTTTTCTGGGTTTGTTTTGTGTCGTCAGAAAAGATCCAATGAAAGGGGTACAGAAAAGGATGAGGGCTATTTTCTATCTGACACAATATGGAGAAAAGTATTGATGTTTGTGTAAGATAAATGCAAAAGAGGAAACCATCAACAGAAATGTTCAAAAGTAAGTTTATCATGGCAAAAAAAAAACTTGGAAAAAAGTCTTGAGTGACAACTTGAATAATGTAGGGAACTGTTCTCAAACTGGGGAATTGGGAACGGTTGAAGTCTACAGTTTATCATTGATGTCAGAAAAAACACAATCAAAAAGTTTGCCTCAAGGCTTACATTGATCTTATTTACAAAATAATACAAATTCTGAAACAGGATTCTGAAAAAAAAGTTATATATCAATAAAATATGTTAACTTTCAGCTAAAACAAACAAACAACAACAAAAAAAACACTAAAACAAAAAAAAAAAACCTAGATGTGAGTCATTCAACTGATTTCAAAAGGGCTGGACTGCATTTCAAGGTCAAAAATTCTGAAAGAACAACGGATGAAGATGGCACTGAAAGTCTGGCAAATTTTCATATTGAGTTTAAACAGTTGTTCTGTTTGCTGATGGTTTCAGAAGGCCAAAGTCTGCAAATGATTTTCACAAAGACTTAAAAGAACATTTTATTTATTTCAGTTTTTCTAATAAAAAAAAAATAAATAAATAATCAAACATAAAGTTGCTTTGTGTATTGTACATTTTCAAATGGAGGTTTTCCAAAACCAGTGTCGGGTATGATTGAGAGTTTAAATGTTTTGGAGAAACTTGAAAATATAAAGTACATTATAAAATTGCAGCAATTAAGGCAGTGTACATTTGCTTTCAGACCTAATGGTGTTTTCCATATTGACATTTCTCAGTAAACGCAGATTTAACCAAGATGGACCTGAAGCAGGAAACTTGTTTGCAGAGGTATTGATGATAAGAAAACAAACTCCAGTACTGATAAAGCCCTGACATGGATTCATCTTTTAGGCCATAATTAATATATGGCTTGTATTACAGATACTGCATTACTGTCACTGATGAATACAAATGAGGAACAGCGACTGGGTTATTCAATATAGCTCCCTGATTGTATTTATTGTATTTTCATCAGACTGATGGGTATTGAGAATAGGAAGTAGTAGGCAGAGGACAGATCCAAGGTTATTGATAGAGGCTATTAGCTTTGAGCAGCAAACTGTCAATGGGGACTCCAGCATAGCCACTTAAATATTGCAATAACCTAGCATGTAATGGTAAGCAGAATAAAAGGAACACACATCTGGAATGATCTGAGTATATAGTTGGGAATTTGGAGTTTTGAAAAATTTGTGAGTAGTAATACATTTCGTGATAAGGACCGTAGTGACTTTTCAACAAGGAAATGGTTAGTGTTTGGGTCTTGAATTTTATCTCCAGCCTGGTCCTGCGGTGCCTCCCGTCATCCAGCAGGAGCCATAAGCAGGCACCGTCGCATCGGCAGCTACAGATGTTCTTCAACACAGAAGTATAAGAAGCTTTCCAGCCAGCACCTCTTTGCCAGAGGTTTAACCATCGCTGGCAGTCTCTAGCTAATCTGCCTCTGTATGCTTCCTAGTGCTCCTTTGACCCTGTGCTTTTGTCTCTCGGTTACCAAGTTCCTGAAACTCTATTCAGCTCAGTTCCTACCTCAGAGATAACCTGCAACATCCTCCGGTTAAAGCCTAAGCTGAATGTGTTTGAATCTATTCTGTTATCGTGCTCTGCTTGCCCTCCAACCAAAAAAAGTAAAAAAAAAAAAAAAAACAATCCACTGGACTTTGTTTCCAAGTGTTTCCATGCTCAGAATTTTGGATCAAACCAGCCGCTTTGTTCACTGTGGAACACCCCCAAGCAGATTGCTTCTTCGAGAACTGTAAGACTGATCTTTATCAAAGCAAACATTCTCTTCAACCACAGCCCAAACTATTCAGCTTTCTCCAGATCCAAACTGTCGCCTTAAGCCAAGTGTCCATTTCCTGGATTTCCTGATCATTCTTCATCTTTTGTAAATACATTTTTAAACTTTTCACCTGACTCCTGAGTGTGTTCTGCATGTGGGCTAAATCAATATGGAATATCATGACGGGGTGTTAACAAAGGCCTGCAGAGATACTCAATGGTTTAATGACTTAAGAAAAAAAAAAACAGACAATATACAGTCAAATGTAATCATTCATTGTCTGCGAGTTTTAGGAGAGTGCAGAGGTTACAAATATGAAAACCAAGGATACCCTCTTCATCATTTTGGGAGTTCCCAGTCCCTAGTCTATTCGCTAGCTGTTTCATTTCCCCCTCTCAGAGGGACTTGAAACCAAACTTTTATATGTGTAGGCATTCCAATGGGATGACTAAACCACCAATAATGACACCTAGCATCTTCTGCAAACTCCTTCTGGGTGAATTGCCTCATTCTCTCCTTAACCCTGAGTCTGGCTACTCAAAGTATGAAGCTCATTTCAGATTTTTTCACTTGAAATCTTGTTCTTTTTATTACAAACTGTATATCAGGACAACAGGTGAGGGTCAGAACAAATGTCAGTCCTTCAACATGAGTATGAACTTGCAGGGTACTTGAACATCACAACTGAAGAGAGATTACTTATGAGTCTGTCCTCAATGTCAAAGTAGTTTATGAAAATTTATGCTGTGACATGGGGATATGGAAGTACTTTTAATGGATCAATGTTTCTTGTACAACCAAAGCAAGAGCTGTGTCAGATGTCTTGACTACTATAATCCTACCCCCAATCCTGTTTGTGAAATTGATGGACTGGACAGAGAGGGGAATGTCTGATTGGGAAAGTTTAGAGTCTTAACTTTTCTTTTTTTTATTTTTTTATTAAGAGTTGACTGGAGTGGTTCCAACAAAAATGTGTATAACCGAGGATGAGAGTCAGGTCTTTTAGGTCTAACGTTATGTTCCTCAAATGGAAAAAGGATGACACCTTCTGGGTCCAAGGGTTAGTCTATACCTATAGTGTTTGATTCATTTTTAGTTAAAAAAGGGGAAAACTCCAGAAAAAAACAATTTGGCTGATATATCTCTTGTAATCCATACAAATAATGGCTTTATGTCCTTAAAACCAGCTGAATTCAGAGTGACTGACAAACCTGTAATCTATTCATACCCTTCCTCTATCCTTGGGCTGACTTTCATTCATTGCCTTTGCCCTCCTCCTAACCCTGTTCATCCCTCCATTTTTATTCAAAATCCTTCCCTCCCAACATTTTGCCTCTCTAATTAGCTACATTAGCATTTCACAGTCGTTTAGTGCTTTGCCGGAAGAAGCTTGGATGACCTCAGAAGAGAGGTCAGAGAGGGCTTAAACAGCCCAAAGTGCAAAGATGCTTGTGGATGAGCATGGTTTAATGCTTGCATATACTACAATTAAAGCAGCTGTTTGAACACAGAAAGCAAGAATGAATAGAAGACAGTATGAGTTAAAACATTGTTGATATGTCAAAAATGCCAAAAAATATTCTTTTAACCCTGGAGCATAAGGCTGAGTGGGCAGAACAGGGACTGATATTTAAGATGGGACAAAAATGCAAAGACCAGCAAAAGGCTGATCTAGTTGTGTAGTTGAGGAAATTATTAATGAAAGAAAAGGACAGCTGATGGAGCAGACAGGAAAAGAAAGGGAACACAGAGCTGGAAGCAAGCATCTCCTGAGAACAGTTCACCAGATGCCTTCCTAGCAGACATGACCAATCTCCAATTTCCTTCTCAAACTCTACACACCCTGCTCTCTGAGTTCAACCCATTTCTGCAGATAGCTAAGGTGACGAAAGTCTTGCAGCAAGACTGCAACACCGCCCAATATCACAATCTGCAATTAGAACTAACATGTCTGACAGCTGGTATGCAAAGGTGCATAAATAAATGCTCCATCTGCAAGAGTCAGAGCCAGATTGACAGGAAATGTGTGTCTTGCCAAACTGTTCTTCAGTGTGAGTACATAAACATGGAGACATACCTTCAAGTGCTTCTGCATATCACTTTTAATATTCAACTGACACATTTTGTACAGCTGTGAAGCTGTTTAATGAGCTTGACACTTCAGCATAAAAAAATCACTGACAGTGATAATTCGTTTTAACCAAAGTATATTTTGCAGAACATTAAACTTAAAGGTAAAGATCACAAATGTCTTGTTATAAATACTAAATGTGCAATGTAATTAAAGAAGAAAACACACAACCTACCCATTCTGCATTGCCGTTGGGTCGTAGGTTAACGCCATACCACTCTGTAGGAAAAAACAAACAGAAAAAGATGTTGAGAAAACATACTAATGTGTTCTTTCTTTAAATTAAATTGACAAGAGAGGCACATAAGGTTATTCTAAAAATCTCGATTAAAAAGAAATGCAGATTTCAAATGCATATTTTTACATTTTTATTGTAATGGACTTTGTTATTTGTAGGGAAGCATTAAGACCACAGCCAAAAATAACACAGATTGCTCTGTAACTGATGGGTGTACATAAATGCCCTTCTGAACAGATACCTGTTCCAAAAAGGCTGTTTTATATAACAAATAGCTGCTCTATGTACCCTTCTAACAAACAGGAGGCGCAGAAAGGAAAACCAAAAAAAAAAAAATCTAATTTGCTCCAGTAAGAACATCAACATATAAAGCATTAGCTTCAAATAAACAAATTGTAAGAAAATTTATATTAAATATAAAATTCATTTTTACTCTGCAGTTAGAAATTACTAATCAATCTGTGATACAGCAGAACGAGAAAACAACATTTGAGCACAAGGGGATTACAGTGCTTTGCAAAAGTAATTATGTATATTATGTCCCTTAATTTTTTAAAAACTGCAATTAGGATAATGGATCAAAAATTTGTAGAACCCAAATTTGGGACAATATTGGCTGCATTTCTGTCAGCTTTGCACATCTAGGGATTGGGATTTTGTCTTGTAAAAGCTAAGTTAGGCTGGATGGATAGTTCCTCAACATTAATTATAATACCTTATATTTATCCTAAACTGAAGTCAGGTCTGGACTTTGGCTGAACAATTCTGCTACATGAGAATATTTGGCTGGATTTCTTGCGTAATTTACCTGCTTAAAGATAAACCACTTCCCCCAGTCTCAAGTCTATTGCAGCTTTAAACAGGTTTTATTCCAAAACTGTCCAGGATTTTGCTCGACCCTTCTTTCAATTATTTCCTCTCAGCTCTGCTGTCCAATATAATAAGATCATGTTTTCTTTATCCACTGAGAGGCTTTTGGTGAACTGCAAATAGCAGTTCTTATGGGTTTGTTTTAACAGAGGCTTTATTTCTAACCACTGAAGGCAGGGTTTGTAGAAAACACATGTACTAGTATCTGAGCTGTTGATCCACTAAAATTGTCATGGGTCTCTTTCCTACTTCTTTGATCCAAGCTTTATTTTTGTCTGTTAAAATTATAGGCTAATTTTCCAATGGTAAGTGTTCTTTTTATGACACAAACATCTTAATTACAATTAATTGATAATGTGTCAATAAAAAATGCCTTGCAAAAAGTAAAAAAAAAAACACGTACTGGCCAAGTGCAACAAAAACACTATTTTTTATTCTTTTTTTTTTTATCTTGAATATCAAAGATTCCCATTTTTCAGTCAGGAATACAAGATTCAGCATTATAGTTGAACTATAAATGTGTGGAGCATAAAATGTTCAACATAAAGATGCAGGGACTAGCAAGATAAAATAATAGTAATAAAAAAAAAAGGATCAACAACCATATTGTTGATAATTTAATTGCAAAATTTGTCACTAAAGTGTCCTTACACTGCCTTAATAGCAAACATCGAATCATGTAACATGTCCAAAAAGATTGCTTTACAGAAAAAAGATATTAAAGGCTATAAATTTGACTTTTGCAACAAACCAGGTATCACTCCCTCACAACTGCATTATACTTTCCCTCCTCTCACCTACAGCAAAATCAGAGAATGTTTCGTCTGTTCCGAATGTGTGGTTCTTTTGACAGAAGTAAGTGATTGCATGTGTCTATAAAATGTTCTTTTATCCTTGTCTCAAGGCCATAATCTTTTCCAGATCAGCATGGGTTCAAGGAGACAAGTCTCCCTCAGCTGAGCATGAGGGTGCAGCACCTCAAGCATCCCCAGTGTGAGATATATTTATTAGTCACTCTGGACTCTTTAACCAGAAATGGCTAAACAGCTAACAAGAAGCTTCAGGGCTAAGCAAGCTTTTTTCCGTATCGGAAAGCTAAAAAAATATGCATGAGATTTTGTTAGCGAACATCCATATATTTCACTTCAACATAATGAGTGAAAGGAGAAAAGGATATTAAACTCTACCAAAAAACTCCAAAAACATTCAATATAAGGAAATGCAACATCCTCATCCATCAATTTGCTCTCATATATTAACGGACAAGTTTAAGTCTACATACAAAATGAATTTGCAGTCTGGTGTTACTTTATTCCACATCACCAATCTGCTCTTTCCTACCACTGTGCAGTGCAGCACTGTGTGTGTGGGTGGGGACATTATTTGACACCTTTTTCCCCGTTGTTCTCCAAATTAAAGCTCTGGCATCCAGGATCTAAATCTGAACTCCCTCTTTGTGCAGCAGTCAATCTGCTTTCAGTCCCCTGTTAAATGTTTTTATAAGAAGATAAGAAAGCTAAGAAGAAAACTGATAATGAATATGTTAGAAAACTGTCAAAATTAGGGAAATCTA